ACCTTTGAATTTCCTTACGAAAAGAGAAGGAAAAAAAAACAGTTCAAGGTAAACGTCTGGTATTCCTCCAAGTCGGGCGATTCCCGCCTGCGACGATGACGTTCCCAGGCGCATCTTCGAAAAAAAAAAAAAAAAAAAAAAAAACTTCGCGACGATGCACATCGATTGCATAACGGTCACATCGTAATATGTCGTCAGTATATTTACCAATAAATAGCGCGCCAGTTGTTAATATGGGCGCTATTTACGACGGTATCGTATGCGATAATATCGATCGCGCGGAGAACCTGTCGTCTTCCATGAGAGATATTCGGGTGGGTCCGTCGTGTATCCGATAAATTCGCAACGTCTCTCGTACGGTGGTCCAGCGATCTCTCGCGCACATTCGGATGGGTAAACACAGCACGAACGCAATGTAACACGATCCCCGCAAGGAGTCCCTCCCCCCCCCCCTCCTTTCTCTCCTCCCCCTGGGAACCTCGAATACGTATTCTCGGATCGCTCTGTGCTCTGTGTACATTGTGGAGAGGTACACGAGAAAACAATAAGTTTTCATAACAATAAGAACTAATCGATTATCTTGGAAATTCTAGAAACTCTCGGCATCTCTGGAGGATCGTAGATCCTAGCGAGGTTCTTTATAAAGGATGTTGCGCGAATCGCGTTCGTTATCACGACCGCGACGGGGAAAATTTGAACGAAACGTTCCGAATGCGGATGATTTAATTCCGAGCAGGCTAGAGGAGCTATGATTGCGTTTATCGTTTGCGAAATAATGCTGATATGAATATTTTATACTTTTGTTTTCCGGGATGCGATCACGTTGCGCAATATCGCGATAATAAAGCTGGGAGAAAGGGATTTTAAGTAAAATATTCATTCCTAGAGATAAATAAATTGTGCTTTATTTTTAATTTGATTCAATAATAATCAATGGTAATAATTATTGGAGCTATTATTATAATAACGATTGATGTATAGCCGGCTATCATTAATAAACAAGTCGCATATTCTGTTTAATGTATATGCAAGTTGGGTGAATTTTATTAGGATCAGAGAATGCTGATAAAATATAAAAGGATTTTACGAACATTGTGTGAAATCCTTCCCATTTCCCTTTATAAGTTCTCTGTTTCTACAGAAGTGTTTACCATTTACACTCTTTCACGTAAATTAATATCTTGCTTTTGAATAACTCAATAAAATTGAACATATAAAACATTAATTACCTTTAACAGAAATATGATTTGAATAAAGCCAGTAGGTGGCGCACAACAATCTGAAATTTAATAACGTTGTTTCCAATGCTTAATATCGAATATAAATGAAACAGATGTACTAGGAAAATTAATGTTTGATTAATTAAAATTAACCGAAGTTAGAAATGATTTCGAACCATGAAAATATAACTCTTGATGTTTTTTCCCGTCATGAGAGTTTTTGCAATAACTTTTTGCAAAAGTATTTTAGATAAGTGATGCGATGTTGTAAAAATAAGGAAAAACGATTTGACGCGTCACGCAAATTTTATTTCCTTCGAGTTTTTCTGCGAATATCATGCGTAAAAAAATTATATTTACGATTAATATTTAAGATTTACGATTATCGATCCATGAATTATTGCGTTATTTTATATATATATATATATATATATATATATATATATAATTTATCAATTATTGCATTATGATAATCAACATAATACATCTTTTCTCATACAGTATAAGATTTGTCTTCTTTTATTGTTTTATCCTACGGACATCAATATTTGTCATTGTGCGAATGATTCGCGAAGAATAATTTTTTGCTTTCATGGAATGTCTTTAATTTAATAAATTTAATTTAATAAATTATAATTATAAATTTAAATTTAAATTTCAAGACTTTTAAAACTAAAGTGAATAATGAATAAATTTGTTAACCGGATGGCATTATTCTTAATTCATTGCTATTCGATATTTCTTCATTTCACATTTATTATATCAATGGAACTTCACCTTAACAAAGTTCACATAAAGGATTACGTAAGCTTACATATTTTTATAAGTTTAGACGAGGCATTTATAAAGTTTGCACGAAATGGATATTTTCACAAGAAGTGTTGTGTATTACCTTTAATGGAAGAGGACGTTTCACCTTACAAAGTTAAAACTTCAAAGTGTCAGACCAGATCAAGTCGGAAATTTCAGACTAAATAGTTAGACATTATATAATTAATTGTATAATGAAGCTAATAAAGTTCTCGTTATTGGCGGCGCTCAGAGATATTTCTCTCGTCGCGACAAAACGGAAATGTTAAGACAGATTGTATCCAGAGACTCCACAGACAGAAAAAAAACCGATTATTCCCAGATGAATGGTTTGGCATTCCTACGTCGAGCCTGAGGCATTTGAAAAAAATTCAGCGAAGCTACCACGTCGATCGTTTCTGCTCGCTAATTCCGTTCGGGGCTTTTCGCATATTTATCTTACCAAGCTTTTTAAATGGATTTAAGGGATTTCCCTTCACTAATATTTTTACTGAAACACTTTCTACATCTTTGACTATTAAAATTTTATTGAAGCGAAATTAAATAAAGAGTTACATTTCTGTCTGCATCTTTGATAATTGATCCGTTTATTTCAAAGAAAAAGACTATTAACACATGCTTTTGCTGCGAAAAAAGATTTATCCTTAAGATACTCAAGAAATATGTAAAGGTTAAAAAGACAGGAAATAGAAGTGGGACACTGTGTGTAATATATGATATTCTTGGAATGCTCTATGCCTATTCATATGTTTCATCTGTGTTTAAGCATGTGGGATTATCAAGACTTTTGGCATTTCAAGAGTTGGAATGGAATACTTAATGGGAACAGAATATACAAGAGCTTGTCATAAAGTACATATACAATTTATTTATTAATATATTATTAATATATTATAGAGCAATTTTCTTGTGAACTTGCGTCAGCATAAATGATCAAGTTGAACGAGAAATATCAGGAGAAATATCTAAATGAAAAAACGTTATATGTAATACAATTCTTGAATATTATTGTCAATGACCAAAAAAAAAATGCCATAACAATAATCAATAAAAATAATATCATCGCAGCTCTATGTTGTGATGTTAATTATAATCGTGTGCATATAAATCTAATTGTTTTTTTTTTTTTATATATTAAACATTTATTTAGTATGACAGAGAACTTAAATTACAGAAAATTATATCTTCATGTAATTTATATATTGTATTTATATATTGTAATTTATATGTTAAATCGTTTGTAATAATAGTTCTTATCTATTTGCTATTGTTTTCGCTCGAGATAAGACGAAAGAAATTTTTAATTTGTTTTCGAATAATAGATCAATCTCAACTATGTTTTCTTTCATCGACATGTTAACTATTGTTGTTTATCGCCAGACGGCCAGCGATGTTAGCACAACGCCGTTCGGAAGTGGAGATCAATCTGCTCGTCGAGTGCATTATCTCGAATTACACAGATCCGGTCGCGTCAAAGTAATCCGTGCCAGCTCGCGCTGTAGAAACTCTGTGTAGAAATGACACTTGCCTACGCGTTGCATCTGCGATGAGAGAACGAGAAAGAGAGAGAAAAGAAACATCGATATATAAAAGATACTTGCTTCTTGTCGCACTGCTGTGTCTATAAAATGTATGAAGAAAGTCAAAAAGCACATAACACGCACGCACGCACGCACGCACGCACGCACGCACGCACGCACGCACGCACGCACGCACGCACGCACGCACGCACGCAGAGAAGCTAAGAATGGCGCGCTTCATGCATAGATCACTCGTCTCCATCATAAGACGTAACATCTCGTCTTTTTTTTTTTTTCCATTTTTCATTTTCTATTGTTAAACATCACGCACCGCGAAATTCGAATGCGCCTGCGAAAATATCATTTCTATTAAATCCGTACGAGAGATTTCCATATTTCCGATAGCTTATCGATACCGCATGTCTGCAACTATATTTACTGACAGTATCAATATGTCATCGAGCAAGGATATCAATGCGAATGCGGATTAAGCTTACGAAACTGTCGGCGATACGTATAAACAAAGAATGCTTTTCGTAACTTCTGTCATGCTTAAGAGCGTGATCTTCGACGACGTTTTCCTCGGCGAAAGTTTGATTGAATTCTCGGCGTTCGTAAATAGTAAATCGATTCTCTCCGATGACGCTTCTTCGGTTTCCTCTGACGTTTTTTCTTTAATATATAAAGCTATCTCTCCCTCCCAAGAGAGAAAAAAAGACACTCGAGTCCAAGTATTCAGGTGGTATTCCTCATTCTCCTGGAAGTTCTTTCTCGAATACTTTTCCGAGGCGAAACCACAGTTAATTTCGCCTTTATACGCGGCCGTTACTCCACGCACGCACGCTCGGCGCGGCAACGCAAACGCTCTAATCGGCTGTAATTATCATCCTCGTGAGGATGAACGCAATCGTTGTTCCCACCGACGGTGGCGGCTGCGGGCGCGGATTTGTGCCCCTCGGGATATCATCGCGGGATATTTCTTGGCGGCGCGCGCGGTGACGCCGTGGAATCTCGATAACGGTACGCGAGCATTACCTGTTACGTGCTCACGGTACGTTTACGTTACGCATTATCGTCACGGGGCCATATTATCGTCGCTTCGATCGCGAATCCGCGCGCATCAATTACCGTTACTGGCCGCCGCCGGTACTTTTCGTTACGCAAGACGAGCGATCTTATCGGGAAAACGCGTGCGCGCGAGACACCCCCGGCTGTTTCTCAGTCCGATGCTCCTTTTCCCTTTTCTCCCTCTCCGAAACGTACGTATCACTCTTAAACCGATTATCCTCCGCGCAATTTTTATACTTTGCTCGCGGCGCGAAGGAAATGTTTTATTATTACTCCGAGTGTTCTTAGAAGTCTCGAGTGCAATCATAATAACGGATTCCCTAAAAAGACTCGACGATTGTTTTTTTTTTTTTTTTTCCCCTCGAGATGAAACTTTCAGACGAGTTTCAAATATAAGAATGTATGTCGTGTAAATCGAAGCGTTTTATTTAGTAATCACGTAGATGGAAAATATGCGAGGACGAAATCGTAATATAAGTTCTTCCTTAATAATTTGAGATCATCTTTATCTTTTTGACCCGCATTTGATAAATATTACAAAGGGACTGAAGAGAAGGAAAATACTTTTTCCGCATTTCCCTATTTTCTTCAAGATATAACAAAAAATATTAAAGTCAAATTCCGAGGATTTATCTTTTTTCCAACAGAGAATAATGAGATATTTTAGAAATAATCTGCAGATGTACGTGACTCCATGTTGTAATTGTAATCTAAAATAACATTATAATAAAGCGATGTTAATATTAAAAGTGATATTAAAGTATACTATAGAAACTTTTTCTGAAAATCTTTCGGCGAAATTTAATTCATCAATGTAATTTAAATTTTTATAATGGATGATCATTTCCAATGAACTTGACGTATTAATATTTCTAGTTCAATAAAATTTCTAGACTTAAACTTATTTATTACTATTTGCAGATTTTACATTACATTCGTATTTTTCTCGATGATTTTTATGAATTCTAGGAATATCTTTTTAAAAAAGTTTTGATTTATGAAAATAATATTTAAATTGAAAGGTAATCTTATTTTCTTGTAATCTTTGTATCGTATTTATATCGTCGAAAGAATAAATCTGAAAAGTTTCTCTTTACTAATTGCAAAAAGCTTATAATAGATTTATTAAAGCGTGCCTTACACTAATATATATTAAAAACTTTATATTATACTTTATATTAAATACTTTAGAATAAGAATAATTATATAAAAACAGAAATATATTAGTAGAAGACTTAACGAGATTTAAATATTTTTGTATTTTAGATTTGCTACATGACATTATGAATTTATTAAGTATTATACATTGTTGCATCGGTTTAATAACTTGTCTTATCAAATCATTTTATTACTATTAATCTTATCTATGCATGTTTAAAAATAAGAATGGATGCGAAGGTGTTTTAAATGTTACATACACGAAACACACACACACACACACACACACACACACACACACACACACACACACACATAGA